TCTTCTTCTTCTTCTCCTTCTCTTCTATATTGATCTGACATCATCCAATTGATTGGGATTCCGCACCATCAATTGGATCTGATTGATACATAAGCAATTTTGGGGACTTACAATTGGTATCAGAGTTTGGTTGTATCAATTAATTTTTTCAGATCTGGAGCTTATTTGATCTTATTTTGAAAAGAGAATAGCGTTTTTGGATAGATCTTTCAAAAATAAGGGGGGTTACTTCTTTGGATTTTTCATAAAAACGAGTTTTTAATCGAGTTTTAGAGCAAAAAATGGTGAAAAACGTTGTTTTTTTCGCGAATATGTTGAAGGTGTGCGGACCGGTTGAAGGTGTGTGGCTCGGTGTGTGCAGCTCGGAGTGTGCGACTCCGACGTGTGCGGTGTCGTGTACGGTCAAGCTTCTTCCCCTCGTTCTCGCATTTGGTTCAAGGCTCAGCAGAATCGGTCTTGGCTTCGCGGCTTCGTCCTCGCTTCGCAGCTCTAGTCCTCGCAAGCAGCAACCTCGCACAGCAGCCCTTTCATAATAAAAAGGGAAACAAAGTTGAGGTGCCAGGAATTGAACCGTGGACCTCCCGGTCATTAACAAGCGTGCGTTAACCAACTCGTCTAGGAGGATCTTTGTTTCATTCTTCCGAAATTTAAAATATAACTCGTGCTTTTCGAACCTAATTTCGCATTTTTGCAAAATCAACCCAAAAATCAATTTTCTTTATTTTTAAAATCCTTTTTCAACCTAAAAATTTTAGTTTTTAAATTTTAACTTTTATTTTTGACTTTCTAGTTAAAATTTTAACTTTGACTTTTAAAAGTTGACCTTTGACTTCAAATTTTGACTTTCTCGTTTGATTTTTAATTTTTTTCAAATTTAGCTTTTCGGTTTGACTTTTAAGTTTAAATTTTCAAGTTTGGCTTTCGAGTTTGACTTTTTAAATTTGACTTTTAAGGTTGACTTTCTCGAATTTTAAGTCAAAGGGCAATTAAAATTATAAAAATATATTTAAAAAAATTAATTAAAAGAAAATTAAAAAAAATAAAAAATGAGTTCCACATCAATTTCGGTAAATGAAGTTTCATGTACTCCATCTTGTAAAGCTACAATTAAATTTCTCCGAGATCAAATCGATTTATTAAAAAGGGAAAATGAGGACCTCTAATACGAAGGCTATACTCTAAGGAATGGTCAAAAACCTTTAAAAACACAATTAGAGGCCAAGACTAAGGACTTTAAGAAATTACAAGAAGATTACAGCAGTAAGTGTGAGAATTATGATCACATCAAAAGAAAACTTGTTGCTGTAACTGAGGAACTTGACGCTTTGAAAATTAAGTGTGGAAAAACAGATGTTAGTTTCAAAAATTACACTGCGTCAAGTAAGACAGTCGAGTCCTTAGTAGAAAATCACAGTGTGCCACCTCCTTTTAATCAATATTATAACCCACCCTTTGAGACCAATGAGGAAGAAATGCCTGCTCAGTATGGCCAAACTCCTGCTCTAGATTTAGTTAAGACTGAACAATCAGGGCCAACTGAGGGTGCTAAGCTGAACGATACTAATGATTCTACTTCTTGTGCAGGTAAAGTAGTAGAGGATGAGAACAAGGAGAAAACTATTGAACACACCAATAACTCCTTGAACTCTGAATCTGTTGCTTCGAACTTAACTGCTTCTGATCAACCTGCTGTTGAGAAGTACAGGCCACCATTTCAAGCTAAACAGAGTGCATGTTGCAACTGTGCGTGTGGGGAAAGCAAGAGACAAGGCAAGGACACGCCACTAGGGGCAGGAAGAAACAACTCCACAGTGAAGAAAAAGACATGTTTTCACTATGGAACACCTGGACACATTGCCAGAAATTGTCCTAATCGAGCATACGTTCCCTACTATGCACAAGGCTGGCAAAACGCGCAAAGAGGGAGATTCTACAAAAGAAACCCTTCGAGGCCACGTTCAGACAATGACGACTGGAATGCCACGAAGGGCAAGAGTTCAAATCCCAAGGCCAAGAAATCAAATCCCAAGGTCAAGAAGGGAATGTCGACCAAGAAGCCAAACCCAAGAGATGCTCCCGTGAAGTCAAAATCAAAATCATCTCAACGACCGACATTAAGTTCAAAAGCAAGTACTGAGCCACCCATCAGATCAAAAAAGAAATGGGTTAAACCTAACTACAAATGGGTTCCAAAGGCTCACTCTCCCAAATCTTCTAAGGCTTCTAATATTTTTACATCTTCTATTTGTTATAAACAGGATATGTCATGGGAGAGAGTACTGTGCAAGGATGATAAAGGTCGACCCAGTTTCAAAATGGATTGGGTTCCAAAGACCAACTGATCCCGCTCTGTGCTGGAGTAGCTATGGAGGCATATCATCAGACTTCGGTTTGTTGATAGTGGTTGTTCCAGGCACATGATAGGAGGCATCTCTTAACTGTACAACACTCAGAACATTGTTTGAGAGTATGTGTCCTTGCGGGAAGGGAAGAAAGGAGGTGATCACTCACAGGGATTGTGCTTAATGACATGAAGAATTTTCGGATCTATTCTGAGATTACGCGTGCTGTTCTCAGACCTTATGGATGCAAATCAATCGGTGACTTACGGTTTGGGTTTTCTTCTCTATACTCCTGAGTTTTTCTTAAGCTGCTTCGCTTTAAAGAAAATTTTTTGTTTAAATTTGCGCATTTACTTTCGTTTCTCTCCTATGCACAAATTTAGGGGGAGAAATAAAAACAAAACAAAAATTAAAAATTAAAAAAAATTAGAAAATCAAAATAATAATATGTTGGTTATGGAATGTACTTGAGGGAGATGTTTTGGGAAGTGAGAGATAATGGGCAATCTGAGTTAGCGTAACGTACCCAAAGTTGAAGGGTCTATGCTCTGGTTTGATGCGTCGGTAGGCACGAAGAATTTAATAAACTTGACTAGGTGCAGATGAACTTAAGGAATATATAGACTTGACAAATCTTGACCTAGTTAGATCCGTTTAGCCTGACAATACGATGTTTGGATAGGTTGAGCAGGGAGATATATATGGGAATCTACTCGTCACATTAAATGAACCCGTATCTGGAACCGTGGTTTAACTTTTCCTCCATGTGCGGATTCTGTCCTTAATTCCGGTATTGATGGGGCGACTGGTAAATTCCGATAAATTAGGTCTGTAGAAAATCATTTTCTTTCTTTCTGTCTGTTAGTCATATGTTACCTCCTCTGCGTGATTGGAAGAGATCCGACCTGGACTGTAACATATGCAACTCTATTTCTCTGCATATTATACATACATATACATATATGAAATTCCTCTTATATGTTAGCCATATGTTGTCTCCTTTGCATGACCAATAATCCGACCTGGTACACAGCATATGCACTATAAGTGATAATACTCTGAATCTGTCTTCTCCCCTAATGATGGTCTGCTCATCCGATGTAAGGAGTACTCTGGAAGTCCTTGATTACCGGGGCATATCTGGAAGTGGGAAACATGTTCCAGTACAATTAAAATTGAACACTCAAAGATTGTCTATAGATCTCGCTGCTCAATTTAGGTGGACAACAATATCGCTGGTCGTCGTCAGCTGAATGGTCCTTAAGATATAGTATCTAGAAACTTAGGATCAGATATAATATCTAGGAACTTAGGATCACATTGTGTTGTCACTTATAGTATGTCCTAATTTTGTCACAATTTTTCGTGCTTAAGTGGACAACAATACCGACGATCGACCAGACAAAGATATGAAGATAGAAGGTACCGACAAGCGGATAAAGGCTGTCTAAAAACTTTGATCCCAAATCATTCTTAAAGTTAGATATCATTTTATTTTTGTTAAATTTGTTCACAGTTTTCCTCTATACATAATTTTTAGGGGGAGAATTAAATAAAATAATTCAAAAATCAAACAAAAATCAGAAAATTAAAAATCCAAAAATAGTGTTATTTCTTGTTCAGAAAAATCAGAAAATCCAAAAATATTTTTGTTTCTATTTTTATTTTGTGTGTTAATTTTTCTTTTAGTTTTGTTTTGTCTTGAAAAGAGATTTCAGGTATAGATAAGACTCATGAAGTTTGTGTTGAAGATTTCTGAGCCAATGCTTCATCTGTGAGCATCGAAGAATTCGCATTCGGAGGAGCGAGAAATGAAGATTATTCTTTCGACATTCCATCCTTCAACCCCAGAAGCATGGTGAAGCTGAAATTGAAGATTATGTGACGGATTGCATTGAAGCCTCCTCAACCAGTCTGCTGCTATCTTTGTACCTGCTGAAGTGATCTAGAAGATTTGTTCTCTCTGATGTTCTCTCTATAGATTCTCAAGCTGAAAGCGCTATCTTTCAAGAGTCAGTACATCAAGCCTCCTCACCCGGCGTGCGTTCAAAGCCAAATTCTTGAAGAAATGCCCTACCACTCAAGATGAAGGCATTCATAGAAGATTCATATGTTCATCTTGATGCTGTGAAGAAATTTGAAGATTAATGCTGAAGCCAAACTCCCAACAAAGATAAACAAGAAAATCCATCTACTTTTTAGGGGGAGTTTATTGGGCCAGTTAGAAAAGAAAGCTATAATCCAAGGGGGAGATTGTTGGGTCAAAAATATGGTTTATACTTTGCTTTTCTAGGAAAATATATTTTTATGTAATTTTGTATGTGTTTGCGGTTTGTGTGTACGGTCGTACATGTGTGTACGGCCGTACACCCTGTGTACGGCCGTACACAGGGTGTGCGGTTGTACACATGTGTATGGCTATAGGTCCATATAAATAGAGGAGTGCATGTGGGAGTGTAAGGAGGCGAGTGTAGAAGAGAGCATCTTGTAGATAGAGAAAGTTAGAGAGAAGAAGTGTGTGTGAGAGAGAATCTATTGTAAAGGAGCATAATTAATATTATCAATACATCATTAGATTCATCTTCTTCTTCTTCTCCTTCTCTTCTATATTGATCTGACATCATCCAATTGATTGGGATTCCGCACCATCAATTGGATATGATTGTCTTGGAGCATATGGGTTATGTGGGAACATTTCCCCCTACAATCAAGAAGTTGCTTCCTCCGTGTTGGAAGTATTTGGCTCATGTGTTCGTGAGCTGTATTTCCGGCAGGAGATCTAGAGCTAATGAGATTTCTTTTGCTAACACTGGTGCCATTTCAGCATTGGCTGCAGGTTTGGAGTTTAATTTCTCAAAATTCATTCTGAATGAAATGGTCCTGAATCTTGAAGGGAACAAATGAGATAAATTCTGGATGTATCCAAGATTTCTGCAAATCATCCTCAACTTGAATCAGGCCGAGCTATAGAGAGGAAATGATGTCTTAGATTTTAAATCCATTGGTCCAAGTGCTTTTGGGCTAATGAAACAGAAGAGAGGTGGGCAATTTGTTTTTGAAGGAAAATTCCCATTGATAAAATTTGGAATCTTTAAAGAAGATGATATAGATGAATCGGAAGAACAATCAATGCCAATGGAAAATGAAGATATTCATCTCTCCCTTCGAGCCTGAAGTGGAGGAGATTCATGATTCTCCCAGAGCATGTGTAGCTGATGAACATGATTATCAGAAAACAAATGATTCTAAGTCTTCTCGAGGTGATGATGATGATGATATTTATGATGGCGTACAGTTTTTGAATAAATTCGACTTTACTGGAATTAGCGATGATGTTCCAACCAACATAGAGTTTGATCTCAATGATGAAGACTTTGATCCTTTTCTCGGTATCACCAGCAGCAGTGCAAATAAAGTCAATGAAGTTGTTTCTCTAGCAACCAAGACTAGAGCTGAAGAAGATTCTCTCAAAATTCTATTCTCCACCTCAAATCCCTTGGAGGTCACAACAAGCCAAGGGGATGTGACATCAGAGATTCCTCCCTCTGTGTCATTTGTCTCAACATCAGCTCCAATCATTTCCGACTTATCTGAACCTCAGACTTCTCAGACTTCCTTAAGAACAAGCCAATCTCTTGAAAGTCTGGAGATTCCCGCTGTAAAAAGTGCTCCTTAAGTTACCTCAACAATCACTGCAACCTTTGTTCACTCTCCTCCACAGCAGTCTAATGAAGGTCCAAGCACAATGTTCGAGACTGGTAGATCCTCTTATGTTCCAAAATATTCTCCAACTCAACCTTCTCTAGATGAAGCTTCTATCAGACTAGTAAGACATTTGGCTCAATCAAGTCCAACCTCTTCACGCGGGAAAGGAATATCATTTAACGAGGGTCGGACAGATGATGACAAATTCACCTCATGTGATCTTCGAGAGGAAGTTGGAGTTCTCCGCCAACAGCTCATTGAAAAATCAATTCAAATGGATCAACTTTCTGCATATGTCTTGGAGCTCAGGGCAAAGGATGAAGAAAAGTCCAAACAAATCAAAGATTTACAAACAAATCTTGGATCCGTTCTAGCCAGTTATCTTAATCTCAAGAACGTATTGTATGATGCTTTTGGTGAAAAAGTTAAAGCTCTCTTCCAACAGCCTCATGGAGTAGATGATCCTCCTTCAACTCAATCACCTCATGTAACTGATGATCTTCATGTTGACCCACCTGCTCCAAGATCAACTATCATTGTAGACAGATTTGAAAAAGAACCATAAGGAAGCAGAGCTAGAATCACAATTAAACAGGGCAAAAGAGTTGTGACTGCAAACCAACGCGAGGGACTTCTGTTTATGAAAAATTCAAATGAAAATCGCAAAGCAAAAGAACCTGCCCTGACTGTAACAGATTTGAAAAAGAGAAAGTTTGGCAATAAGTATGGTGACAGATCTGGTATCCGTATGTGGGCTTTCGATCCAGAAACGAATTTGTGGGTGGTGAAGCGAAATTCAGGAATTTATGAATGTTACAAAAGCACCCATGATTTCAATTCTTGGACTAAGACTGGTCTAGCAGAATTATCTAGAGTTCCCTTTCACAATCCCTCGCAAGATCCAAGTGCTTCAAATTTTAAAAGTTTCCTTGGTAGGCAGGTCAAAGAAAAATTTCCCAGCATGAAGACTGCCAAAGCCCTTTATCGAAAGGATAAGGATGTTATCGACCCAGAAACAGGAAAACCTATGAAGATTATATTATGGCCTGCTACAAAGAAGCAAAAAGAAATTTCAATCCCTCAGCATTTCCAGGAGGGATATCTTGACAATATGGAATTTTGGGTATACGATGACGAAACTGCAACTGATGCCATCAAATTCAAGGATCAAGAACGTGTTTTGAGGCTGATCAATGCAAAAGTTCGAGACTGGTAGATCCTCTTATGTTCCAGAATATTCTCCAACTCACCCTTCTCTAGATGAAGCTTCTATCAGACTAGTAAGACATTTGGCTCAATCAAGTCCAACCTCTTCACGCGGGAAAGGAATATCATTTAACGAGGGTCGGACAGATGATGACAAATTCACCTCATGTGATCTTCGAGAGGAAGTTGGAGTTCTCCGCCAACAGCTCATTGAAAAATCAATTCAAATGGATCAACTTTCTGCATATGTCTTGGAGCTCAGGGTAAAGGATGAAGAAAAGTCCAAACAAATCAAAGATTTACAAACAAATCTTGGATCCGTTCTAGCCAGTTATCTTAATCTCAAGAACGTATTGTATGATGCTTTTGGTGAAAAAGTTAAAGCTCTCTTCCAACAGCCTCATGGAGTAGATGATCCTCCTTCAACTCAATCACCTCATGTAACTGATGATCTTCATGTTGACCCACCTGCTCCAAGATCAACTATCATTGTAGACAGATTTGAAAAAGAACCATAAGGAAACAGAGCTAGAATCACAATTAAACAGGGCAAAAGAGTTGTGACTGCAAACCAACGCGAGGGACTTCTGTTTATGAAAAATTCAAATGAAAATCGCAAAGCAAAAGAACCTGCCCTGACTGTAACAGATTTGAAAAAGAGAAAGTTTGGCAATAAGTATGGTGAGAGATCTGGTATCCGTATGTGGGCTTTCGATCCAGAAACGAATTTGTGGGTGGTGAAGCGAAATTCAGGAATTTCTGAATGTTACAAAAGCACCCATGATTTCAATTCTTGGACTAAGACTGGTCTAGCAGAATTATCTAGAGTTCCCTTTCACAATCCCTCGCAAGATCCAAGTGCTTCAAATTTTAAAAGTTTCCTTGATAGGCAGGTCAAAGAAAAATTTCCCAGCATGAAGACTGCCAAAGCCCTTTATCGAAAGGATAAGGATGTTATCGACCCAGAAACAGGAAAACCTATGAAGATTATATTATGGCCTGCTACAAAGAAGCAAAAAGAAATTTCAATCCCTCAGCATTTCCAGGAGGGATATCTTGACAATATGGAATTTTGGGTATACGATGACGAAACTGCAACTGATGCCATCAAATTCAAGGATCAAGAACGTGTTTTGAGGCTGATCAATGCAAAAGATCTTCTTCGTTTTCGAGAAAGGGACATACAGACTCTGGCTCGTCACCAGATAATCTGCAGAAAAGAAGTAATGGAAGCTGCCGCTAAAGAATACACTGCAATGATTGCTATAATCATAAATGGAAGGTTGTGGATGGATTCAATGGGGAGATCAGATCTGAGGCTGTTTGAGAAGCCTGCTGAGGAGCCAAAGGAAAAATGACAAGACTATGCTAGTCTCAAACCAAGGGGGAGACTGAAAGAACATAATTTGTGGTTTGAGCTAGGCATCATTTTGTATAGTTAATTGAGTCATTTTGCAGTGTTTTGTTTATTGTCATGTAATGTGTGCTGCCACACATGTGTGTGCGGCCGCACACTCTTGTGCTGGTAGGAGGAGTGTAACAACGCAAATTTTCAAACAAATTTTTCATTTAAAATAAAGTGATTTATTTCAACCAAATATAATTATTCCAAATTTCATATCAAAATACAATTATAACATCCCCAAGATCTCAAAACATCAACAGTGTCTACGCGTCATGCCGGCGCCTTCCCACGGTCCTCGCTAGTACCTGAAACACATACATAACAACTGTAAGCATAAATGCTTAGTGAGTTCCCCAGTATACTACTTACGCATATACGCCTTTCCAGGCCCTGACCTTCCGGTCTACAACGCAACGCCTTCCGGCCCGTAACATAATCGCCTTCCGGCCCATAACATATTGACTTCCGGCCCATAAACATACACAGCAAATAATACATTTATCATAACACATATGGCACATATATCACATATCATATCCGACCTTTCAGTCACATAACATATTGCCTTCCGGCCCATATAAACATACATAGCACGCATAGAAAATACCTTACCATTTATAGCACGTATAACACATATCATTTCCGACCTTCCGGTCACACAGTCAAACCCTTCCGGGTGCAGTATAGTGAGAAGACTCACCTCGTGGGTAATGAAAGCTAGCGACTCCTGAAATCACTCGCACTCGATCCGCCGAGCTACAGACTCCCTATAATATTATATGTCCCTTATTAATACTTTTATCTTTCAAGACAACTGACCCTGAGAAATCACATGTAGGTCAGCTCTGGTCAACGGTCAACGGTCAACTTGACCGGACTCGGCGAGTGCTAAGGCAACTCGGCGAGTCTAGACGTCCTCACCAAATCCTGATGTTCCCTTTCTACTCGTCGAGTATCCCTCTTGACTCGACGAGTTCCTCGTGGAAGAATCGCGGGGCCACCCCGACTCCACTCGCCGAGTCTGAAGAACAGCTCGACGAGTCCCAGTTAATCTTCAAGCTACTCGCCGAGTCTGTTCATCGGACTCGGCGAGTCCATGCCATGCAGTCGATCAAACTGCTTCCTGAGATCTGTATTGTCCCGACCATTCATAGGTTTGGTCCTCCTAAGCTGGTACAACACGTAAGACCTTCATTTAGGTGCTCATGCTACACTCCAAGACTTCTAATTTACCTTTTGTCTTAAGGCATAAGGACTCCAATCCAAAGCCTCTCTTAATTCCCGAAATACACAGGCATGGGACATTCTGGACCTCTAAAGGTCCTAATACAGGGTTATAATTGTTTGGGGAACAAGGGTAATAATCAATCTAGTCACAAAAGGGTTCCATAAACCCTAAATCCATGTACACATCAACATAGCAGAATATGATCCGAAATATTACCTGAATAATGCACTCTCTGTGTCCCCAATCCTCAGAACTTGATTCCCTTGCTGTTCCTTTAGCCAAACTCTTCTCTTCCTTGCACAATAACTTCTTCAAGATCACCAATGGCCTTCAATCCTTGCTCTAGATGCCCACAACCGATTTAGGGTTCTTCTCAGTCGCTAAAGACGGACAATGACGGCCTATAAGTCCGTTATATACGTTCCAAAATCGAACGGCTAGGGTTTCCGCTGAACAGCGCAAACTCGCCGAGTCCATAATGGACTCGTCGAGTCTAGTCGCGAACCCGCGACCAAGTCTGTGGTCCTACTCGGCGAGTCTGGCTCCAACTCGCCGAGTCCCCTCCTAAAACACCCAAAACAATATTATAACAATACCTGAAATTCCGGGCTGTTACAACTCTCCCCCACTAGGACTAGACTTCGCCCTCGAAGTCTCACTCTGCAAATAAATCCGGATGTTGCTCCCGCATCTCACGCTCCGGCTCCCAAGTCATCTCCGATCCTTTCCGGTGTTGCCACTGAACCAACACCAGAGGTACCTCCTTGTTCCTCAGAACCTTGATCTTCCGATCCCTGATGGCTACTGGTCTCTCGGCGTAATTCAGGCTCGCATCCACCTGAATATCCTCTAATGGAACCACTGCCGATTCATCGGCTATACACTTCCTCAACTGCGATACGTGAAAGGTATTGTGGATCTGTCCCAACTCTGCTGGCAACTCTAACCGATAAGCTACCCGGCCTACCCTTGCAATCACACGAAATGGACCTATGAACCGGGGCCCCAACTTGCCCCTCTTCCTGAACCGGATCACTCCCTTCCAAGGAGAAACCTTCAGAAGAACGAAGTCGCCAACCTGAAATTCAAGCTTGGACCGGCGTCTGTCCGCATAACTCTTCTGTCGGCTCTG